ATGTGTGTGTGTGTGTGTGTGTGTGTGTGTGTGCAGGTTTATCTGAAGGCTCCTATGATCCTGAATGGAGTGTGTGTGATCTGGAGAGGCTCGATTGATCTTCAGCGTTTGGATGGGATGGGTTGTCTGGAATATGATGATGAGAGGGCACAGGTACAGACAAACCACCTTGTGCTGTCAAACTGTTTCATGCCTTGTGTACATCAGAAATGACTGGCCACTGCCTGTTTTCCTGTGGTTTTGTGTGTTTATACAGCATGAGGATGCTCTAGCCCAGGCAGCCTTTGAGGAAACCCGCAGAAGGACTCGTGATTTTGAGGACAGGGATCGCTCGCACCGTGAGGACATGGAGGTGAGAGCTGGAGTGAGTGAGGATGTGTGTATGAGTGTGTGAAGTTTCGATCAGTTAGTGCATGCTGAAAATCCAATATGTTATTATGTTTTAGTCATAATGGAACTCAGGTGTGTGTGTGTGTGTGTGTGTGTGTGTATGTGTGTGTGTTTGTTTGTATATTATGTGTGTGCATATATGTACATGTGTTTTCCACTTGTGCATGTTCAATACTTCTGTATGTGCTTTTTTTTTGCAGAATCTTTACCTAATTCCTCTTGCTAATATTTTGATTGACAGCCACTTCCAAAATACTTGATGCTTTAAGGAACAGTTCACTGAAACAAATTTTTTTTTGTAGCTCCTGAGCAGGCAGATGATTAAGTGGTGCCACCGGCATCTTTTCTTATGGGTCAAGCTAAAGTGGTAGGGTGAATCTCACAAAATCATGTCTAGATCATATCTCACCCCAAAATAAAAACATAATATTTTGGATAAAGGAAATGAAGCCTATTATTAAGACATTTCTGCATTGTCACATTATTTATTCATGACAATTAAGCACATTTTCCCCAAAATATGTCACTATAGTAATGCATCTGGACATTAGACTTTTTTTTTTTCATTAGACTTTTTTTTTGTAATTCTTATTATTCTCAAAGATGATTAATATTTTAAGAAATAGTTGTAATGCAGTTTTGCAAAAATTAGAGTATAAGTGATATCTAAATATTTTATATTAATTAAAATATTAATTATATATATATATATTACAGAAATGAGAATAATATATTTTTAACTATCACTTGCTTATTTATCAGGAAAATAATGTAATTATTTATTTATTTATTTTGTTAGAATCCTTGATTTTGTTTTTGAACTTCAGTTTTGAACTTTAAAATCAGTTAAACCTAAAGGGTTCCATCAATTCTGAAAGTCATGCAAGAAATGACTAAACAGCATTTCAACATGAAAATTACTATCTCTGAAAGACTTTTACTTTGACATTTTTACATGAAAACAGTAGTTGCGAATTCTGTCTCCTTTCAAAATTGCACTGCAGGAGCAGGAAAATAAGGGCTACCTCACAACATTTCTGTCTGTTCCCTGATGTCTTGAGAGCTCTTGACGTAGCTAAACAGCTTGTCTGGGGCAATACTGATTTGATCACTTGTCATTTAGCAGATGCCGATGGCACAGCTCAGTCATTTAATAACTCAGGAGGTAAGACAACAATTTAGGATTTTATGTAGTGAACTGCTGCCTTGATTTTCTATTTACTATAAATTATTCAGAACAAAAACATAATGAAGAAGGGCATGTGTGTTTCTTAGTATTTTGTATGTATGTATGCATGCATATATGTACTCTATGTGAGTTTGTGTACGTGTAAGCTATTGAAGTGCTTTACTCGTTTACTCATGGCTTAGTGCATGAAGTGTCTTTGCATTGTAAGTCCTCAAATATAATCATTCTACAGTCAATCCAAACTGCACTCTTAAGATGAAAACCAAATTGTGTTTTTTAGGACCCTGTGGCATCAAAAATCTGGGACTGATGGCCTTCAAGGACCAGGGTCTGTCTCCTCTGCTTCTCTCTATCCTTGTGTCATGCACTAAACCGTGTCTGTCTGTAAGTGTGTGTATGTGTGTGTGTGTTTCACAAGAGCATGTGCATGAAAGAGCATCTCTGTGTCTTTATATACTCTACTCTGTGTGTGTGTCTATATGTGTTAGTGAGTACATATACTGTAGGTGTGTGTTTTTTTTAAACGAGTGAGATTTCAGGCTTCTATAAGCAACTTTGAGCTGAGGGTCTAATATTGTAAGCACTAAAAAAAACGTTCTACTGGCACGAGAGACCCCCAGCTCGCTCTTCGCAGACCTCTGTAATGGAGACCAGACTTCTATCCCAAGATTCCTCACTGCCCCGCCCACCCACTCCCCTGCTGCAAAGCCCTCTGGGAGCTCTCAGGCACAGCTTGGCAGCACATGACCAGAACGATTCCCCTTATGAACCGCAGCCTTTATATTCCTCCCTCCTAATCTACGCCCTCAGGCGTTGCTTTACACACTCTTCATCCTCTCTTCCAAAATCAATCATGCCAAGGTCTCTTTTTTAAATAGATCTGGCTGCTTATGAAAATCAAATTTCTTACTCATTGCAGTCAGGCGATCTGTGACTCACGGGCCAAATGTTTTTCCCTCAAAGCTCAAAGTCACTGTGAGGGGTGGAAAAATGAAACCCTGTAATTATTCTATAATTCATGCTTTCTCATCCCAGCAGTGTGGAGTCTGACCCTCGTTCAGAGCTTGTTTTCGAGTTGCACTGTACGGTCGTCTTTATTTTGGAAAGCGAATAATACTTGCGCTCGGATCGTACCTTGAGCCTTCACGCTGTACAATGGTCACATAGCTGTGGTCAAATCTTAAACTCTATCATCTGTAATTGGATAAAAACCAGCACAATAGTAGTCTGGATCAGCAGAAAGCCAGAGTTTTCTGGGAAAGTGTGCCAGGTTTGTTTCGAAAGGACGTACAATGCATTTAGAGACTTAAAAATCACTTATGACCTTACTGAGAGACAAAAGGAACATTTGCTGTGCGTAAACACTTATTTGTCCTCTCTCGGTGTGTCTTAATGCGGTTCCGTCACTGTTTGTCTATGCAGGGAGTCCAACGGGGCGAATCAAAGCTGAAAGATATCGAATAGTGTAATGGCCTTCTGCGTGATAGATGGTAAAGAGATGGATGAAAAATAGATTGCCCATTTTTAATGAAACCCAGGCCTTTACTGCAGGTGGGATTAGAGCATGAGTTATGTTGGGCCAGTGAAAGTATTAATATGTCATTAGTATTGATCTTTTTCATTAGCAGTGCTGTCTGCCCAGCAAAATCTAAGCACTATTGACTTGTGGTACAGGAGAGTGCTTCAGCTGGGCTTCGTATGATCGATGCTGCGTCCTCTCATCCACACAAACACACTTTTTCAAAGCTTAAATACTACAGAGCAAACATTTTTTAGCTTTATAAAGCTCTATAGATATATATAACATCTTCTGCAGTTTGAGTTGTGCTCGTTTTTGTGCAGCATTTTTATTATTTATTGCCCTACTGAAAAAATAAATGAATCAAAATGTAAACCTACCTGGTTTGTTGGGCTTACCTGGTCAGCCTGGTCTGTTGGCTGTTTTTTTTACAGGGGTTTGGGGTGTTTTTCAACTGGTTATGGTGGTAGACCATCTGGCCACTGAGCAACTTAAGATACCAGCTGAAATCAGCTAAGGCCAGCAAACCAGATTGTGTTGGTTTAACCTTTTTTTTTTCTTCAGCAGGGTGATATCTGATCAACATTATTGTGACTTTTCACATGTTTGTTTTAAAATATAAAAATACATAACAACATTTCAGAAATAATTAGAATAAAAGTATATACCAGTCAAATAAAAAAATATATGCTACTTTTCTAAAGTAAGTAAAGATGTTTACCAAGGCTGCATTTATTTGATTCAGTAAAAACAGTAATATTGTCAAATATTATTACAAATTAGAATAACTGCTGTCTATCTTAAATATTTTAAATTGTCATTCATTCCTGTGATGGCAAAGCTGAATTTTCAGCATCATTACTCTAGTCTTCAGTGTCACACGATCCTTCAGAAATCATTCTAATAGGCTGATTTGGTGCTTAAGTAACATTTCTATCAATGCTGACAACAGTTGTGCTGTTTAATAATTTTGTGTAAACCGTGATACATTTTTTTGTATTCTTTGAGTACAAAGTTCAAAAGAACAGCATTTATTTAAAATATATATATTTTTTGTAACATTATAAATGTCTTTACTATCACACTTGCATTTACATTTATTCATTTATCAGATGCTTTTATCCAAAGTGACTTACAAATGAGGAATACAACAAGTGATTCATCATAAACAAGCAATTTAATTGGTCCCCGCTGAAAAAAAATGTCTTACTGATGTCAAATCTTTGAATTGTAGTGTATAAATAACAAGCAATGCATTACTAGACAAATACGTTTAATTCTGCAGTTCATCGAAATCATCTAGAGCTAGCTAAAGCTTATTGTTGACAGTAAGTTTATGCACTAGACTGCTTTGTTGCTGTGCGCATGAAAGCTATAACAGCTTCATCTGTTAATGCATACGCTTAAAGATGGGATTCCCAGGCGTTGGGTCGAGTAAAAACAGCCTTGCGTAGCTCTAGAGTTAGAACGTGCTATAATCGCCGGTTCCACAGATGATGACCTCACACTATGTGAGATACACTATGTCTGCCTCTTCGTCTATCTTTCTGTCACCATCTGCCTGTCTGTCTGTCCGTCCGTCTGCCCTGTCTGTGCTCAGACATCTATGTCAGGGAGAGATTTAGACATAGGCACATAAACATATGTATCTGTGACAAGGCCATCAGTCATATCTTTATTTTTAAGGCTAGTGATTTGAAGACTTCCCCCTGACTAATGACTAATGTCTGCCACTTCAACCAAAAAAAGCAGCTCAATTTTTAGCATTTAGACTGAAGTTGATCTCTGTGGTCCCCTGCTGGAGACAAAGAGCAGTTGCATGTGGGCTGCAACCTATTACTGGTATTGTTTGTAGTTTGAGAACGAACATGTGAGTGACTCAAGCACAGCACAGCCATTTTAACTGTATTCTGTCTCTGTCTCGGTTTGTTTGTTGGGTTGCGTGGGTGTTTGTGCATGTTTTTGCATGTGTGACTGTGTGTGTGTGTGATGACCCAGCCCAGGCGACAGCAGGACCCAAGCCCTGGCTCCAACATGGGCAACACTGATGATCACAAGATGCGCTAGCGGCATTCACCAAAGTGGGCAGGGATAGGGTCATAAGACCTCCAACACCACAGCAATCTCATCTCCTGATGCCTTGTTTATCACAGGACAGACCAAAGTCCACACCGGTGGGGATTTTTGGATGGGGTGTTTGGTGAAGGGGCTGGGTGGGTTGGGCTGGGCTGGTATTGATGTGAGTCAGAGATTCATTTGCATTTGATTTAGTCCCTCGTTTCTTCTTGGGATTTTTGCACTATGTGATATGTTCAGTTTAAGTCCCTCATATCGCCTTTCGGTATGCATGGTTTTCCTACCTATGTTTGCTCTTGTTCCCCCCTATGCAAGGCATCTTATTTTATCCTATTGTAATGAAATGGCATTTTTTAATTATTTTATTTGTATTGTGTGTGAAAGTCAGGATGTTTACTCTTTGTATTTTCATTTCCTCTATACTGTATATAAACCTGTCTGTCCTTGTGCTTTGTAGGAGAAACTAGTAAACGTCGTTAGGTAGATTTGTGCAGTAGAGTAGAACTTTTTTTTTTTGATGTCTAAAAAAAGAAAGATCTAGAAAGAGGCTGCTGATGTTGTGAATGAGGAGGTCTTTTCTTTTACCATCCTTCTCTATGTGCTCTGTCTTCCACTCTCTTCCTGCTATAGTCAGTTGAAGCATGCTTTGAATGTGAACTGAGCAGCAGGAAGTGAATATTGAGGTACAGTGTTACTGCGTGCTCTACACAAAATTAGGCAGAGATTCGGTTTTTCACCCTACATCTGCTTTTTCTTTCATTAATGTCAACGTTTTACCCATTTAGTTTCTTTTAAGCAGGATTTTCACAGTTTTCCTACATATTTTATTTTACTCTGGAATTCTTAAAATGAATAAATTTTTCAGACATCGAAGACAATTCTCCAGAAAGGAGAATTTTTCACTTCGCTAAATATATATATATACAGTATATATATGTTTGTATGCATGTATATATATATATATATATATATATATATTTTTTTTTTGCAGGAAGTGAATATTGAGGTCAGTGTTACTCTGAGCGTGCTCTACACAAAATTAGGCAGAGATTCGGTTTTTCACCCTACATCTGCTTTTTCTTTCATTAATGTCAACGTTTTACCCATTTAGTTTCTTTTAAGCAGGATTTTCACAGTTTTCCTACATATTTTATTTTACTCTGGAATTCTTAAAATGAATAAATTTTTCAGACATCGAAGACAATTCTCCAGAAAGGAGAATTTTTCACTTCGCTAAATATATATATATATACAGTATATATATGTTTGTATGCATGTGTATATGTATATATATATATATATATATATATATATATATATATATATATATATATATATATATATATATATGT